AACATTTCATGCAATTGAATTCATATCATTCTTTTGAAAGTGTTAAGCGTAATTAATGTAAAGTGTATTTGGTACTTTGGTTCTCTTGTAAAATGTCCCAGATTTTGTATTTTTTAGGTACGTGAACCGTAAATTTCTGTGTATTTGGCTCGTTGCAGTGACTAGTCCACCCACGCGACGAGTTGGCTCCATTGCAGACCTCGATCCTGTCAACAATTTTTATGGGTCATTGACAACGGACTACAGACCACCTAGTAGCGGTGGTGGCAGCAGTGCCAACAATTACAATAATCATCATGCTGTGAGCACACCCATCAGCAATCAGCATCAGCAAACCAAACTGCCATCTTCAGGGGTAAGATGCAATGTCTGTAATAAATTGTGAACACTTTATTACTATTTGCTACTTTTAATGAGATGTGAGATCGAAAACTATGTCCTTGATTGAAACTTGAACACAGTCTGCTTGTGAAATATTAAAATGACTACTGGGATGTTGCACCATGTAGTTTGGTAGAAATTTTGACGCAGAATGTAATTAGATTCTCACTCGCAACTCTGTAAGCACAATCGCACTTGTTCAAGTCATGAGAACACCTGTCCTCTGTGGACACCAACTTGGGAGTGCCTGTCTGAACTAGAGTTTTACACTCAAACTTTTCCATCCATCTCCAGAGAGCCTTGAACAAGTGTTTAATTTCCAAAAAAAAGCTAAGACCAGTTTTATGTTTAATCTGCATTGACCTCTGAAAATGTTGGCTTGTGTCAGTTTAGAAATGGGTATCTCTGTCATGTCTCTTTTTAGTGATGTGACAAGGAACAGGCATGTAAGGTCTGGAGGATTCTAAATAATTTCATATCGCTGAGTGCAGAACTAGGAAATTATTTATACTCTTTAAGAGTTTCTAGCTTTGTTTTGTGTGGTATGCTTTTGGCCTGATTTTATTTCAGATATCTTTGGGATATTAGCGATAGAATATGAGAAAAAATCTTTGAGTCACTGTCCTCCTGAATAAGTCATTGCTGTAGCTAGATCTGACTTTCTGTATGCTACGCAGTATCTTCCTCATTTTCTGACCTTTCTTTCAAATAGATATGAAATGTGGGAAAATATAACGTACATTCAGCAAAATAATAAATTAATATTTCAGTGTGGTATGAAATAATTTATTACTGTATCTGTTACAAATGACATTCTAAATTTATCCATTTATTGTTTTGTACAAAATGAGAAAAGAATCAATATAATTTTGTTTCACATCCAAATGTTTGTGTTTCAGAGAGTTTATAAAGCAATGTACGACTATGACGCTCAGGATTCTGATGAAGTTTCATTCATGGATGGAGACCTCATTATTAACTGCACACCAATTGATGAAGGATGGATGACTGGGCTTGTCCAGCGAACGGGACAGACGGGCATGTTACCCGCCAATTATGTGGAGCCTGTAAATTGATGGGTTGACATGTGCTTTATGCTGTACCATCATTAGCTTTTGGAGACGGTGGATGTCAGGATGGATTTTATGTGCTTTATGCTGTACCATCATTAGCATTTGGAGACAGTGGATGTCAGGATGGATTTCGATTAGTTTCTTTTGTACGTCAGCACTTACAAAAATGTTGGACTTCAGGGAAAATGGAGTTCTTCATCCAGTAATTTTGACATTGTCGTCATATTTTGAGAATGTACTGTGCAAAAATTAGCCATAATCACGGTTATATTTGCTATTTGAAACTTATTTCATTATTTTGCATGACTCGAGGGCCCCCTCTCATATTTAATGGTTCTGATGAATTTGTTGACAGTATTTCATATGGATAGTATCCAAGAACTTGTTTGAATGTGGATTTTACTTTCCATATTTCTGATTGGTGCCGTTGTCCATCAAAATGCATAATTTTAATTACTGTTTGAAACCTTTCTACACTGAAGACTTGGGTCCCGTAAACATATTATAGTTATGTACATATAAATGGTCTCTTCAAGATAATTGAATTATAGGAAGTTTAGCACAGGGAGCAGTTCGAAATGAGTAAAACAAGTTTAAAGTTTCTTTAACCCTTTAACAAATTGGGATATGCTGAACAGTCAGTATTTAACTGTATACCGCAAGTGAAATTAATAAGCGTGGGGAGATGCCGCAAACAGTCGAGAGCATGGGGACATGGATCGCTGTTCACACAGTAAAAACTTGCTTACAGCAGAATCCCAAAGGACCTGAATAATTGCACAGTATATGTCCCAAATGATGATCCAATCGTATGTAAAAAAATTATGCTTCAAATGTGCATTGAATTATTGAGTATTATATATTTTCAGTTTTCCTCCTTTATGCTACATTATTTTTTTTTCACTCAGTATTCCTAAGAACGGAGGGATTTTCAATATCATTCCGTGTCCAGGTTCATTTTCAAATGACTTGTATGATATTCGGGTAAAATCGTAGTTACGTGCATTTCACGTGGTCAGAATTGCTGTACTCCAGTCTTCAAATGCTAATGGAGGTTGAAGTGCCTAATTCAATTTCTTTCCTGTTTGATCATCCTGATGCCTTAACCATATACTTATATCCACGGAAAAAAATTCAGAGGTTATGTGAAATATTGTTTTTGTTGCCATGTTTTTGCTGTCGGTTTACTTATTGACATCGTTAATATTTCTTATACTTGCCTTTGCTAAGCTTGTCGGTAGCAATTATACAGAAAAGCAGAATTTATAATGCTTAATGTTTTCTGTTGGTAATACTGAACCATTGACTTAACTGACTTGAATTCAGGGAAATTTTGAATGTTTTGTGATGCATGGAACACTTATCTGTAGATTGACATGTGTTAAATGTAATCTGAATCTAAGATTTTGTCGGTGGTTGATTGACTAAGGATGTGAGTAATTGATAGCCCTAACTGAACTGTCTTCCTTTACTGTCACAGGCACGGTGACGTCTCAGCGTCTAGTTTTCTATAATATAAGAAGCATTTAAATGTATAGACACATCTGCTGTGTGCCAGAGTTGTCATGTCAAGACGGCTAGTTAAATTGATAGCACAGACTTGTTTCTGATACAAGGTTTGTTCATACAGTGGAAAGATTAGACGATGCGGAGAGCCGTAAAATGCACCGAAGGGTTGAAACTACTTGTGTCATAGAATGTTCAGGTTGTATAGATATATAATTATGTAACTTTGCTGTTTTATGAGACACATCTGAGTGATCAATAATTAATTTTTTATCCAATTAACCCTGCAACTAAAACACCAATTAAGCAATTGTTCTCAACGGTTGTAAGTTCTTTGGACACAAATCATGATTCAACCACAACTGGTTCCTACTTTACACTGTGTTGCCTTACAAATGCTTTAAACTTGTGATTTACATAATAATTGTTAATCATACATTTGTAATTTTATTAAGAGTGAAGTTTCCATAGCTATTTGCTATTTTTATAACAGTTTATATTGATAACGAGATTTGAAGCTTTTGTGGCAACTGATTGCATTGAAGTCTGTGCAGGTGATCAGCTGTGTCAGAATGGAATGAATTTCTGTCCGTCCCTGATAGAGGCAGAGGTAATCTCCAAAACATTAGAATCTCATCCCGTATTGACACAGCTGATCTCCCAGGAATACTTTGTTACATTTAAAATAAATTTTTTAGATAGTGTGTGGAAATGTTACTGTAAAATTGTTAACAGAAATGCCGCTGTATTTCTGTTGCGGATATGTACGTGTCATTTGTCGTAGAATCGCCTCACAGCATTCCATTGAAATGTGTGCACTTGAAGATGCGTGAGATAAGTGTGTATGTGCATGCGTGCCTTTGTCTCTCTGATCTCTGGACTAATTCATCGTAGCTCAATTTAAGTTACAGATAATTTGGTTTTCTAAACATGCTGTTTAGAAGCTCACTGAGGAACTTTCACAGTGTTATTAAACATCAAAACCAGTCAAATTGAGCATGTTGGCAGAATACAAGGAGACTGGCTTCCAAAACTAGTATAAAATTACAAACCGTATGGATTAGGAAACCGAGTGTGACCTTTAACGAGAGGCTGGAACAGATCAGCAGGTGTCGGAACTCCTTGACTGCCAATGAATATGAAGGTGACGAATAAACAATACCAAACGACAAGATACAGTGACAAGGCAGGATTGTTTAAAATGTAATTATTTTGTTGTTTAAGCTTTCCACACAGGAAGTGTTCACAGGCAGATTTCTAACCTGGCTGCTGCTATTAGTTTGGACAGAAGAAATAAATGAGTACATTAACTGCAAATGGGAACGCTCATGGGTGTCATATTCCTCTTTTGCATTTGTAATGTTTTTCTTGAAATGGAAATCATGACACAGAGTTTCTTCACGTTATTCTGTCCTGTTAGCCCAAGAAATCTGATATCCGTACACATAAAAAACACGCACAGTGTATATGATGGTATGGACTTTTCTATATGTGCGCTATCAGTCTGTCCTATCCCGAGTTTAATTTAATAATTTCTTAAAATGAATATAAATTATGAAGTTTGGTGCTATTTAGTTTTTCAAACTTCCTTATCATTATCCTGTTTTGAATTATCAGTTTCTGAAATCAGCTATGTATACAACAGGTAAAATGTTGCTTCTTGACGTTTTGAGAGGTTATAATTTGCAAACTGATTTTACAAAGCACCACAATATGCCAGTATGGCGCCTCAGGATTCGCCGTTCATTCTGTTGGTTCACTTTTCCTCTGGGTCAGAATAATGGCTCCAAAATTTCTGCATAAATAGAGAGCATCATAATTCCACAAATCATTTGTGTGAATCCACATTATTTTCCTTATTTGCCCATTCTTGTATTTTGGTATGGGCTGCAGAGGGACCCAGTATGTTAGTTTATTTTAATTTTTATTCTCTCAATGCATGGCAGCAAAATTAAAATTTTAAGTCAGAGTAACATTAATTAAATTAATGTGTTTGCCCTTACGTGTCAAGGTAAATATGAATTTTGTTTGTCTTTTATTTTTGTAATATAAGCTGTAGTTGAATATTTTATATTGTAAATCTGAAGTTCAATCACTTCTGTATTTCTTTGAATATACTTTCATAGGAACTTGCGAGGTCTTGTGAGTAGGTTTAACCCCCTGGTTTGTAAAATCTCGGAAGTTCAAAAATTCCTTAGTTTCATTCCATTTATTTATCTTCACTTGCACTGAAATATTTTAGATTTTCAGCTTTGTCTGTTTCGTCCGCACTTCCTTTGTGCTTAGAACTGTATTAATTAATTTCAAATCATATTCTGATACAGTTAACCCCTTAAAAAATGTTACACGTTCCATATGTAAGCTTTTAAGCCAATCGATTGAGAGCCCAGTAATGATTTCCTCAGTGAGGGGTGGAAAATACATTTTTGGATTTTAATGCTGGCATGCACCTTGGCAAAAGTTGGCCAAAGTAAAGATATTTATTGTTCCAGGCTTCTTGGGAGGCAGACATTTGAATCCATTTCATTCCTTTCCTCTGTCATCTGGATTTGATGCTTCTAATCGCAAGAAATATTGGAACGTACACATCTTCATGATGGTTTATACTTCACAAGGTTTAATATATTCTGGTTTGTACGCCATTCCACTATTTGCATTTACTGTGACACAGCAACCATTATTCCAATACTAAGTACTCTAGTTATTTTGTCTAGATATATAAGTATGGGATTTACATATACTATATAAAAAAAACAATGGTACTGACTTCAATTTATATTGTACATATATACATTAGTGTGTTTACCAGATGAATAATTCAATATTACTTTTTCCTGTTACGAGTTTTGACAATAAGATCTTCAGTTTGTAATTTTAAGTACTGTATTACATTTTTCAGCATTATTTTATTTGATACAGATGTACGCTAAATTCAGTGAAACATTTTATATTAAGTTTTGTTGAATTTTGTAGATGTAGTTTCTGCTTTCTTATTGCAATATTAGTCATATGTTCTATTTACATAGTAATTATTATGCCAATATGCAGCTAAAAGCATTTGGCACTAAAAATGTTTACTTAAATTTCATATTCTTTACAAGATGAATGTTGAACACATTTAATTACAATTCCCCCAGTTTCTTTTGTTGCATTGAGAAATTTTTATAGGATAGTTTTCGTGATTCATGCTTTTTGATTTCCACTGTTTGTTGCTTTGCAGGATACTGTAATAATTTGATGACCGAGCTTTCGTATCTAGAAATGTTTTTTACTGTATGTTGCAGTGACACATAGGAAAAGATAAACTTAAGAAATTAATAAAGAAAGTCTGTTTCATAATACTGTGCACATTGTTTTAAAGTATTTAAAATCTACATTGTGTATGATATGATGGTGGAACAATACATTTTAAGGTATCATGATATATTTCGTTGTAAAAGACTAGTGAATTTCGTGTTTTAAAAGATTATTGATACTTAAAGATATATTGGTGAGGAGATTCATAATTTGTGGATGTTGAATGTTGGACAAGTCTTCAAAATTGTAACTTATGCTTGTTCTTATCACCAGGGGAATAAACTATAGCAAATTTGGCATAGTTTAAGTCTGTATTGTTTTCAACATGGGAGGTACAGAGTATGGATTTTGTTTATTGTATTGTACATAACTTTAACAAATCTTCAGAAATTTAGAGATCCTGTTTACTGTTCAGTTTATTTATTGTAAACCTGTTGGTGAAACAGGTGTACTAACTGTTGTGTGGTTTATCATTTTAAGTAAATTTCTCAGTCTTGGTTCTTTCTAAGTTGGCTACAATAAATTAAAAGTTATAGCTCTAGCCTGTTTTCTTCCTTTACGTACATAAAAGTCTGCTTAAAATTATGTAGTGATTGAAATATAGTGTAAGAAGTTTGTTCTTTTAAACAAATTGCTGTTTTCTTTTCTTTTCTACTGACAAAAAAATAAAATAATCTAAGGTTCTATCTTGGATAGCTGGTCTGCAAGGCAAAATTTGACCTCTGGACTTTCAAATACAAAACAGGAATGCTAACCACTTGTTTGCAAATACAGTGTTATAATTAGATGTCTGAGTTTAAAACGAAACATGTAGGCAAATTGGATACTTGCATTGACCTGGGATAGAGAAATCTTGAGCTCTTACACCTGTTAAATTAAAAATTTTATCTTGTATCATTTAATTTTTCTTTTCCAGAATAAGAAGTTATGTAACTTTGGTACTTTAGCTTGACAAATCCTATTGACTTATAACCTAGTATGATGTGAGGTTATGATGGTGAGTTTGAAGAATATCGTATAAGAATTTTAGGTTCTCATGACAGTGAATATAAAGATGGCTGCCTTCTGGGTTGTCACACCATGTAATATGGTAGGACTACTTATCAGATATCTAGTAAAAAGTATGAACCACAAGTTTTTCTAGTGATGTCCGGTTTTAATTTTGGACTTGTTTCTTCCTTGATACATTATGTTTCAGTTAGTTGTTAACAGTTTGTAACTTTATATTTAATTGCCTCTCCTGAAAGATTTTCTTTTTTGTAGGAATTGGGGGTTTTCATATCAATGAGTATGAAGATTGCTGTTATCTGGGATGTAGTTTTGTGTAGTCTGGTAGAAGTCAATTTTAAGAGGTGCCTGCTGTCTCCATCGTGATTTTACCCGGTATCCATGGGCAGCAAATATCTTTGAAATGGTAAACTTATACTCGACTACATGGCACTACAAGGCAGCCATCTTAGAGGGATATTCATGGGAGATCCACCCGAGATTGGCTTCACTGTTGGAGACTAATGTAAGGCTACAGACGATTCACAACGTTGTAAAGTCTTTTTGTGTAGTTTATTACCATCAGTTCAATAAACAATATCGAAAATCATTTGTAATACATGAATAGTTCAAACTCTGAAATTTAACATTTATTTCTTGTGTGCACCGAGATTACGAATGACGTAGAATGTACGGAAACTATTCGTCTGGGGTGAATGTTTGAAAACAGTTCATGTAGCTCGTGTGGTTTATATATGCGTTTTATAATTAATCGCATTTGATATAAAAGAACGGAATGTAAAATGTCATTGGTAATTGTATATATTTCACAAAACTGTGTTGCGTGTATGTTAATTTTCGTATATACGGAATGGTGCCACATTCTAGGTTAGGTATAAGGATCGCCAACGTGTTTAAAGATGCTAAGTTGTTGCGTTTTATAATTGAGTAGGTGGAACAGAATTTATTTACATTCCATAGATCCATCGGTCAAGCGAAATATTTTATGACAGTAATTTACAGTCAACTATAGCATAATTACACAAGAAACCATACCCACTACTGCATACATGTATTCATAATAGCTAAGAATTTTTGGTTGATAGAAATTATTCTGTGGAGTAAAGGGAGTGAGGTAGGAGATACTATTTTAGTGCTGGCTTAAACTTCATTATATCGTGTTTCATGCTTTTTATAGCGGGGAAAATATTACTGAATAGCTAAATTCCAGTATAGAAAACTCCTTTTTGATATTTACTGATTTTTTATTTGGCATGTATGAGTGTTTAAAAAACTGTTAACAAAGGAGTTGGTTCTCTTCATTAAAAAAGTGGTATACAAATTGACATCCATCTTCAGTCCACTGTAATTGTGTTGACAAATGATGTATTCTGTACTCCTCCCCCAGTATTGTCAGGGTGATTAAGTCAAGAAGAATGAGATGGGCGGGGCATGTAGCGCGCATGGATGGGACAAGAGGTGTGCACCGGGTATTGGTTAGGAAGCCTGAGGGGAAGAGACAGCTGGGGAGACCTAGACATAGATGGGAGGATAGGAATTGAAGGAGACTGGATTTTGTTAGCCCAGGACAGGGTCCGGTGGAGGGCGGTGGTTAATTCGGTGATGAACTGTCGGGTTCGGTAAGCCATCTATTTAGTTAATGGTGTATTTACAATTCACTCCATGTAAACAGTTGTAAAAATAAACATTTCCAATTTGGTCATCATAAATCTATTATAGTGCATTGGTTTACCAAATTGTCAGAACATAGTTTTTTCTTGTAAAACTTTTCACTGTTACCATAATATGTTGTGTTGAAACGTTATAGTTAACTAATAAACCATGGTTCGTAATTATTCTAACATAATTGAGTATGAATTTGCAGACAAAAGTACAACACATGGCTGTGTTGAATTGGTTTGGATTTCCCTGTGTACTTTGTAGGGCTCATAACTAAGTTAAAAAAAAAGTACTTGGAAGACTAAGAAGGGAATGGTAAAATAATATTAAGATGTAACATATAAATGTGCACAATAGTTTTGGTATGACCTATCTGTCCACATTTTTTTTTTCAGGCTTCTGAGAACTGGATGTTGTTTTTATGGGGTCCGCAGTTTTGATTAGACATCTTTAAAGAAAACACTTGGCTAGAAAGTTCCTGCAAGTATGGCAACATCCATCAGTACTGCAAACAAAGACAGATTTGGTAGTGACCAGAATGTTCCATACAGAATTTCAGATGAGATCTATGGTGATACAGCAGTAATAATTGTGAAAAAAGAAGCCTTGAGTGATGATGAAAACATTCAAAGTTCTGACAGGGTTGACGAGTTCTATGAGTTCGTGGATACTTCACTTCCTGTGGACGTAGTGTGTTCAGAATTACAAAATGCTAGTAAGACACCAGAAAATGGCTCTATTCTTTTAAACTTACTTACTGATTCTGCACTTAAAAATTACCAGCAAACATGCAAAAATGGCGTAACTACTTTGAAAACTTATTCTAAGTCTTCATTAAAACTAAATTTGGTAGGAAATGAAGTTGAATTCAGGAAATGCCGGAAACAGTCGAGACTTAAAAGGTCTGTCAAACTAGTTAGCCAAACAGTGGTGCAGAGAGGAGCTGAGAAGTCTGAGATAGAAACGCAGGAGTGTCAGCCGGGTAAGTTCAAAGTGTATTCAATACAGTAGAATTTTTAGCTTGAAAGCCACCTAGAAATGCATGAGATTGGCCATGAACACTCTAGAAATTATGTTAATTCATTTCCAGGGCAGGAGATGATAATCGTAAAAGAGGAAGTCCTGAGCGATGATGAAGGAGCCTCGAATGAGGAATACTATAATACAGAAAGCACATCACTTCCAGTAAATATACAGTGTTTACAGGTGGAAAATGGTAACTCTGTTTCTCTCGCTGGTAACGCTTCAGGTCGTGGTTCAAATGTAGAAGTACTAGCCGATTCTTCACTGAAAAATTATCATATTTATGATGATGATGAATCTGCTTTAGAACTTGATTCAAAGCCAGTAAATCTAAATCTGCATTTGGTAAACAAGAAAAAGAAGACCAGAAAACACCGAGAACATTTCAGATTTATGAAATCTTTCAATGTGAAAGTTAAAAAGGAAACACGGCCGCGATCACTGAAGACAAATCCCGTGATCACACCGTCTTATGTGGCGCCAGTTGTTGAACACGAGTTCAAGTGTCAGGAATGCAATGAAACATTCGAGCTTAAAAGCCACCTTGTAATGCACGAGATTAGCCATGAGCAATATAGAAGATACAAGGCATATGCGAGCCCGGATTACGTGAAGCAGTCGCAATCCGAACAGCAAGTCTACAAATGTAAAGAATGCAACGCTAATTTTGAACTTAAAAGTAGTTTCTACCTGCATAAACTGTGGCACGAGAAGCAGAGGACGAAAGTATGCCGCTGTAAAAGCGCGCCATCCGCAAGTGTCTCGGATCTCTGTACGTGTATTGTACGCGTATGCAACTTGTGTAACAAAAGTTTCTTTGCATCCGTCAGACTCAAGAATTGGACTTCTTGTATAAGGTGTCTCTTGCAGATGGATACTAAAAAGAAAATAAAGCAGACGTCCGCGGAGAGAACGCAAGCGTCTAAAAGGTATAGAAATAAGGTTTCAAATAGAAAATTTGACTCTACATTAACCGATGTAAAAAGGCTCTGTTACTTTTGTGGGAAAATGTGCGCTAACGTTGTAAAATTTGGCTTGTCGTGGATATGTTACGATTGCTGGAATGCCAAGTTGAAACAGAAATGTGCCACTGATGATATGGAATTGAATAATGAAAGTCTGCAGGAGGAATCAGATTATCCAGGTCTGAATTGCACTTATTGTTTGAGATTGTTTCCGCTGAAAAGTTGTTACCCAGATCACAAGTGTTTTCACAAATCTGTGTACTTATGGAACCAATGTTCTTGGTTTAATGATTGTAATGAACGTGAAGGCGATGTGGATATGAATGAAACTGGAAATGAAGAAGATGTAGAAATGGTGATTGATACAACTGAATTATCAGATGTTGATGATGGTTCATCTTCAAGCGATGTAATGCTGTGTGATAAAACGGGCGAGCTGATAAATTTGAGGTGTGAGGCTGGTGCGTCGGCTTCGGGTAAGACCAGAAAATCTCACGCGGGAGGAGAAAGCATCTAAAAGAACTAGCTAAAGTAAATTCTTTCGCCTTGGGTTTCTGATGCTAGTCGCCGAGAATCTTCAGAAGGACGTGGTACTTGTGATATAATCAGTGTTGGCAAGACTGACAATAAATTACAATACTGCTAACCTTTTTTGATCTCAAAACTACTTGAAACTAAGCTGGTTTCCATTGTAACAGGATGAATTACACCGATAAGAAATAATCCACACTACTTGAAACTAAGCTGGTTTCCATTTTAACAGGATGAATTACACCCATAAGAAATAATCCAGGAGCACAGAATTCAGAATACAAACTACTTTAATGTTGAATTAAGATCTCGTAATTTGAAGAAAAAAAAAGTGACAGTGGAACCACTGTTCCGGAGAATTTGACGTAAATACGTCTATACGGAAAGGAAGTTTGTATATTGGCTTTATTCTAAATATTTCCTTTATACATGCTTTACA